CACACACACACACATATACACACACAGTATACACACCCACACACACAAAACCCCCACCCCCTCTAAAGATATATTGCTGTTTATATGTTCATCAATGTGATTAATCAAAACCAGTTAAATCTGAACATTTGTGTTCTTTATTCAGAAAAGCAACACTTCACATTTCAGGATCTGGTTATTATAGATACAGATTAAATGTTCAATATAAATATTTCTATATTTATCACCACAGTAATAGTGTTACATATTAGTTGTTGTAAACACTCAAAATAATACATGTTGGTTTAGTGCTTACCTTTAACCTAAATATTTTAAGAGTAAACATTTTTAATAATCACTTAAAAAGTTATAAATGTTGTTTTTGCTGCCTGTTTGTTTTACAAATATATCAGTGTGTGTGAATGACAGGCATTACCATAAAACACTTTGTAGAACAGTGCTTTATGAAGTTCAGTCCATTTCCTTCTATCAGTAAGTAAGTAATCTTTATTTATATAGCACCTTTCACAGACAATGACATCACAAAGTGCTTCACAAAGTAAAAGTAAATAAAATTTAAATAAAAGCCAGTCTGAATAAATAAGTCTTAAGATCATTATTGAAAGAGTCAATGGAATCTGAGCAGCGCAGTGACAGAGGGAGAGCGTTCCAAAGCCTCGGGGCCACCACTTGGAATGTTCTGTCTCCACGTGTTTTAAAATAAGTTCTTGGTACCATCAGCAACATTTGATTTGAAGATCTCAAAGTCCTGATGGGACATAGAGGCTTCAAAAGGTCCAGTAAACATTTGGGAGCCTGACCATGAAGTGCCCTAAAAGTTAGGACCAAAATTTTAAAATGACTCCTGAAATGCACAGGGAGCCAATGCAGGGAGGCCAGAACAGGAGTTATGAGAGCTCTTCTGTGGGTTCCAGTTAGCAGCCTCGCTGCAGCATTCTGCACAGATTGAAGGCGAGCTAGGGAAGACTTGTTCAGACCCATTAAAATGCTATTACAGTAATCTAACCGAGATGAAATAAAAGCATGAACAATCATCTCAAGTTCCTTCTGTGATACAATTCCTCGTAGTTTAGAAATGTTTCTTAAGTGGAAAAAACTATTGCGAACTAGCAATTTGCAATGACTGTCCAAAGATAAAGAACTATCAAAGACAACACCCAAATTTCTGAGATTATTATTTACCGAAAGATCAGTTGACCAGCAGTTCTGCCACATCCAATATGGCGGCCGCTCCGACGTACCACCGCAACGGGTCAGCCCGCTCTACGAGGTGTCTACTAAAACTGCCACTTGGACCAGTTCTCTGTTGTGAATGCCCTGGCAGATGACAATAGCCAATTAAAGCTGCAAGCAGCATTAAAGGCCCTCGCAGCAAAGCACCGCTCCGGCCTTATGGCGACTGCGGGAGCTCCAGCGACTTCGCCCAGTCGCTATCGTGAACGCTCTCGCGCCCGTTCACTGGGGTGCGCATTAGCCGAACCTTCGACATCACCTGCATCTGTGGGCGCTCCAGCAACACCTGCCAGTCGCCATCGCGAACGCTCTCATGCCATTCCCGCACGCGTCCACCAGGGTGCGCATATGCCTAAACTTTACAATCGCCTTCCGCCCATATCAGTATGGTCCAGCTGCAAGCCTTACAAGTTTGGCTAGAATCTAACCTTCCATATGGAGTTACTGTCACTTCCTGTTTTGTCGTGAATGTAAAGGACTTCCTTTAGGCTTTTCAAAATGTCATATGTGGTAATCAACAGTTAGTGAATATTGTTTCAGTCTTATATCTTACACAGTGCCAAGATGGAAGAGTCACCCAATAATCATCAGTTTCTTCTCGGAGTGGGTCGGGCTTAAGTCAAGTCATGAAATCAACTTTAGCAGTGTGTCTACAAGTGCTCACTGATGAAGCATCAAAAATCTGGTCTAGATCAGATGATGTATCACTGAGATGTAAGAGTTTGAATAATGTAGGGGGGCACACTGGAGTCAAAAGTAAAACAACCAATGTGTCTAGAAGAGCTCACTAATCAAGCACCAAAAACCTGGTGCAGATCAGATGATGTATCACTGAGATATAACAGTTTGAATAATCTAGGGGGCACACTTGAGTCAAATGTTAAAGAACAATACCAATGTGTCTAGACTTGCTCACAGATGACGCACCAAAAATCTGGTGCAGATATGATGTAACACTGATTTAATTGTTAGAGGAATCTAGCGGGCGCACTTGAGTCAAATGTTAAAAAACAATACCAATGTGTCTACTAGTGCTCACTGATCACGCACAATAAATCTGGTACATATTGGATGATGCATCCTTGAGATATAACTGTTAGAATAATCTAGGGAGCGCACTAGAGTCATATGTTAAACAATAACACCAATGTGTCTTCTAGTGCTCACTGATCACGCACAATAAATCTGGTGCTGATTGGATGATGTATCACTGAGCTATAACTGTAGGAATAATGTAGGTGGTGCTGTGGAGGCTATTGGCCAATTATCATGGCTTCCTGTTCAAGGGGTAGATAATGATCGATCATAATGATTTTGGTGCAACTCGGTTCAAATTTGTGGAATTTAGAGCCAAACATATGGCGACTGCGTTACGTCTTACTTCGCCACGTCGTGACGCCCACATGCTCCACCCAAAACTGTCTGTGTTGGAAAGCAAGTTACACCAACATATCTTTGGTCACTGGACACACTGTCATGCTGATCAGGTAACAGGGGTCAGATAGGGACCATTCAAGGTAAAACTTTACACTTCCTGTTGTCAGGGGGCGTGGCTTAAGTGATGTCATGATTTTACCTTTCAGTCTTGCAGGTGACCGGATGTGGATCAATCACTGAAGGTTTGATGTCTCAGACAGTTTTCGTGTAGGAGCTATTATTTTATTTATTTATTCCCCCCCCCCCCCCCCTTGTCCTGTCCAGCATTGTGACACTTAGAATTATTGTCTGAGTGTCAAAGTGATACCCAACAGATTTACTTTCACAAGCAGAACATTATGGCTGGCCTTAATGCTCCACTTGATATGAAAATTTAATTTTATTAGAATTTGCTATGGGCTTGTTTCAGATGTAATGGACATGGGGATGAAAAACAAAGATAAAGCAGAAAAGTGAGAGAAGGGTTAAAAGGTAAAGAAGGAGATAGGAATAGAGGAGAGAGAGAGGTATAAAGAGAACACAAATCAAAATCATTGAAGTCTGCCTCTAGACCTGCGGAAAAAAAGACAAGACAAAACCGAGAAACCACAACAACAAACAACATATATAATGATACTAGTAACATCATTAGAAAGTATTTTTTACAGTACATGGTAATACAAGATATATTTAGTGGCCACCACAACCCAAATGAGTGTGTATCTGATAAACGCCGGAATCTAAACACCTGCGTGAGCATGCTTGTCACTATAAGGTTTCTTCATGTAGTGGACTAGGCCCATGTCAAAAACTAAGTCTAAGGTCAAAAATCTTGACCTTAAGAACCTTGTGGGACAGGAACTGTCATTTCATTGATTTGAATCCAGAAATACAGGTTCACCCATCCTGAGACTTTCTCTCTTGAAGATTCAAGTGAAAAGAATACTCTCTGTTTTATTATCATTACTATTTTACAAATGTTGATAATCAAAGTGTCTTAGTTCAAACCATTTTAGATGTTGCAGTGAACTAATCAATTTTATTAACTGTGTAATGATCTTTTCTCACGCAAAGTTAGAACTCATGTCAAAGCTGTTACAGAGTAATTATGCCTTTTCTGATTTCTGCTTTTGAATGAGCAAGTGTAAGTTGGTCCAAGGTTGGAGTCAAACGCAAAACAAGTTGTTGGCATGTTTTTAGAATCCTCTCAGACATAAATATAGAGGTTTTTGGCACCTGTTTCTGAAACGCGCCAAAACAAAACTCTCTCTGTCTGTGAGAACATTTCTGATCTTTCCATAACAATTCTTGCTGTCTTCTAACCTCTTACGTCACAAAACACACCCCGTCTGGTCGGTTCTGACCAATGGTAATACTCCCAAAAGTGAACCGGGAAACAGCTCTTTAAAATGTCAGTACTTCCTGGTCTACTCAGTTCTGTTGAGGCTCTGCTCGAGATCTGTAAACTACACAGTTCTGTTAGAAGCTCTGGGATGGTGCTGGAACAGTTCTGGGACAGTTCTGTTCAGTTCTGATGGAGTGCTGTTGGAGTTCTGCTGGATACACAGTCCAACCAGTTCTGTGAGAGACGGGATGATCCTGACATGACAACAGAGCTCTTCCGAGTTCCATGGGATTATAACATTTTCACTCGCCACTACTTCTGACGATTCACAGCATCCTAAGGAGACGCTGGA